GCAGGTGCATTTTCGTTAATCGCTCTTTTCATGCGCTCTCTTATAATAACTTGCTAGTTGGGTAAAGCCCACGCAGGTTGATAATTTCTAAGGTCCTTTTCGATAGTTATACCCTGAACCCATTGAAAATGGCTAAAAGGTCATAATGTATTTGTGCAAATGTATGTAACAGGCTGAAGGAAGCATCTCCGACCCCATAAAGTATATATATTCTTGATCAGCATCAATAGACTATAATCGATAAAAATCTATATCGAAATACTTTTTTTTGAGCAATTTTGGTAAATAATGAGGGCTAGACTCACCAAACTTCACATGTAGCTTCTAGAATAGTATATATATTTGCATTTGGTGTTGGAATAGGAGGGCTTAGGGTATCTCCTAGTCGGGAGCTCCCGACTAAAACCTCCTTGTTTGCTTTGCACATTTAATCTTTTTTTTGTGAATTCCGAATCGGTGTTCAGTAAATGTGTATTGCAGGGCTCTAATGATTTGCCAGTCCATTCCAGTCGTTAGACTATTATGAAGTTATCTAATGCGCCTCCTTAATTCTGCTCTTTCAGTGCGATTACCTTCGATTGATTAACAGACGAGTCGATAATAAAATAAAACAAATTGCAATTATATTTAAAAAATCCAAAATTCTATATGAACACATTTATTTATAATAGCAGCACAAGCACATAACACCTAGCACACAATAAAACCACAATTGCAATTATATTTAAGAAATTCAAAATTCTATAAGTGCACATGTATTTAAAAATTCTAAACCAAGAATTCAGTTTAAACTAGAGAGTGAGCACATCTTCGGCACGCTGAATACCCTTGTAGACATTTCGCGCAGATCGAGTTTGATTCCGATAATCGATAACTTACTCCGTTTCCAAGCAATCGATAAAAATCGATATCGATATCCTGTTTTTTGGGAAATTTTGGTAAATAATAAGAGCTAGAGCTAGCTAGAAAATAGAATATATATATGCATTTGATTTTGGAAGAAGTGGGTTCAGGGTAACCCCAAGTCGGGAGCTCCCGACTAGAACCTCTTACTTGTTTTTTTGTTGGAGATTTAGTAATTTGGCTGAAACTACATCTACTGATTCTCCTTTGACTTTGGCTGTCAATTTATCATTTGAACAATTGTTTGCTCATGACTTATTAAATTTCTTGCATGATCCTTCCGCTTAGTCTTTATTAGGTTGATTTCTACTGTTTCATGCGCCTTTTAGGGAATTAAGTAGTTTCAATGTGTCTTTGAAAGTTTGTAAATTCTCTGCCTTTCCATCTAACTCAGGTATGAGTGATGTGGCTAATTTCAAAAATTCATCTACTGCTTGAGCCATGTTTACTGTGTTTCAATCTTCTAGTTTTTCGTGGCTTATCAAATGTTACCGGTGTATTTAACACCGATGGTAGATAAAAAGATCATGCTTTTTATTTAAATTTGTCAGTTTTTTTGCCACTCGTTAACCAAACTCCTGATTTCATTGTATTCGTATACAAGGATATCAGTGTATTTAATTATGGTGGATCTCAAATGGGTCTCTAGAAATGCCACCTAAAAAGCCTACCGAAGCGGCGATAAGAAGGCAGAGCAGAAAAGGGCGGCCGCAGAAGCGCGTGCTGCTGCCAGGAAGGAGCCACCCGCTGCAGCTAAACCTGCGGCTGCTGCCCCCAAGAAATCTGCTGCTCCTGCCAAAAACCCCGCTGCCTCTGCTGGTTCTGCCAATAAGCCAGCCGCTGACGCTGCTAAGAGGCCCCAGTCTGTGCTGGCCAAGCTCTCCGCCAGGGCACAAGCTGCTGCCAAGGGCAAGTAGCCCGTGGGCAAGGCTGGCGCCAAGCCCGCCAAGAAGGTGAAAATCATCAAGGGCGCTTTCGGTACACGCACATGCAAGACCCGCACCAATGTGCACTTCCGTCGTCCAACAACGTTGAAGCTTCCACGTAATCCCAAATACCCCAGGAAGGCGATGCCCACCAGGAAAAGCATGAATGCTTACAACATCATCAAATACCCGTTGACCACGGAAGCAGCCATGAAGAAGACCGAGGACAACAACACCTTGGTCTTCCTTTCTTTGGTTTTGTCTCTTTGTCTTTGGTTTTGATTTTAGTTGTAGGCGCGCCCTATACTCAGCTATTGTGTATAGTTGGAGCGTCCCTTTTTCTCGACTGGAGAAGTATCTTGTAGATCGAACTGCTTTGATTATTGTTGTCTGGCCATAGGCATGATGTTAATATGTTTGCTCACTGTATTGCGTACTTGTTTTATTTGATGCTGCACATGTTGTAGCTTGTTGGCCGATACGCCTTAGTTGTGGTTGCTTAGCTATTTGCAGGTAAATAATTTTATTGAGACCCTTTATTGTTCCCATTTTGATTGTTGTAATATTCTGTTAATTGTTTTTTTTTTTGGCGCTGCCACAGGTCCAGGTCTATTTAGACCTACTGCACGGTAGCCATGTAATAAATTGGACGTGATGGTTACCAAGTAATATGTTGGACATCAAATTAATGCTCTTGCATGATACTGCTCACTTCAATCAGAAACACATCCATGTGTTTTGAGCTGTCTTTATTTATTAAACTTTAATAATTCATATCTTATATTCTAAGCCTTAACTGCGCAACTTCGCTGCCAGTAAACGCCGGCATAGACGTTAAGAAGTCAAAGGCGAGAGAGTGTTATATACATACATAAAGAAGGGACGGTCGCGCATGCTAAGCATGCATACTCGGCACTTCTACTACCCATTGCATACTTGTACGATCATATAACTTTGTACTTGAATTATGCTTGTGACTTCGGCGTGTGTTTCAATTTAAATGACTCTGGATACAGTCTGTATTCGATATGTATATTTATTACATTTAAAGAGCACGTCTGCACGCTCCTATCCAAAGTTGAAGCATGCCTGAATTAAGACCGATTTCCCCAATGTCGGAAGATCCTACTGATCTCTTGGCTCTGACTCCCGAACATTTTCAGTGGCACAGCCAGAGATCAGCCGCTGGCAGCGCTTGAAGGCTTTGCAGCAACAGTTTTGCCCAAATAGTCTGGCCCGTCAGCAATCCGCGGAATCATGTCGGCTCAAGGGCAAGTGACGCAAGTGCCAGATGATAGCTGGTTTCATCAAGTCTGGTGTTGGGCTCGGACATTTATCCCGAGCTAATTTTTCAAGGCGACCTACCGAGCCATGGTGGCGCACCATTAGCCCACAATACTGTATTCGGGTAGATACTGTACGGATCCAGCGGACCAATAAAACAGAGCCACTTCCTTCTCCTTTTGTTTGCAATACTGCAAGGTGGGCGACATGTTTACAAAAGAAGTGTATCTAGCCGCCGATACTTCACTAAAGTTGGGTCTGACGCAGGAAATAAAACAAAAAATAATATTCACCGCTCACACTAACACTTACACTAAAACATTCTAACCTAAACTCTGAAAAATATAACCAGACAAACAAGTGTTTTTTTTTCCTACGAAGGAATATATCAATTTCTACAGGAGAAAACCCCCCATACGGGCAGCAATTTGTAAAGGTTCCAAGTGGAAGCCCTCCAGACGCCCCAGTAAAAACATATATTACAGCACATTATTACACCACAGCGGATGATCCCCGCGACCCAGCATTGTTATTCACAAGCATTTAAATTCAAACAGTTGGAGTTCGTAAACAGCTGTTTTTTTTTTAACAAACTTTGCAGGCCTTGTCGCAGCTGGTATAAAATGCATATTCTACTTTTTCCTCACTCACTAGCATTATAACATATTGTGTAAGACCAAATTTTTCTTTAATTCTTTGCTTTAGTTTTAAACAAGTTTTAAACTAGTCGGGAGCTCCCGACTAGGGAATACCCTGAACCCGCTTATTCCAACACCAAATTCAGTTCGCGCAACGCGCTCGACTAAAGTAATAAAATACAAATTTAAAAAAAAAATTCCCTTGGCAGGGTTCGAACTCGCAACTGACCGTATTACTTGCTATCGACTCTACTCAACAGCCACACCAGCAAAAAAAAAAAAACAACAGGTTCTAGTCGCGATCTTCCGACTAGGGAATACCCTGAACCCTCTTATGCCAACGCCAAATAAATTTAAAAAAAGTTCCCTTGGCAGGGTTCGAACTCGCATTACTTGCTGTCGACTCTACTAAACAGCCACACCAGCAATAAAAAAAAATGCTTTCCCCGGTGGGGCTCGAACTCGCCACAGACCGCACCACTTGCTATGCTTCTACTCAGCAGCCACACCAATAATTAAGTACTTATGAGGAAAAAAGAACTTAAATAGCATTACAGAAAATAGTCGCAATTATCATGCTGTTAGAATGCGATAGAACGCGATGCTGACGCGCATGAATGTGTATGTGTACATGTATACAGAAATTCTTGAAGTTTCGCTAGCTGTGCTTTCTAATTGCGCAGTTACATATAACTTTGGTTTTTTCTGAACCGATCTTTATGAAATTTTCTACAGTATATCTTATTGTACCATAGAATATTTGTGTTTTCTTAAAAAGTCAATTGCATTTAAATTGTGGCTTAAGTTGGTTGGCAATACAACTTGATTTATAGCTCTGAGGTGGTGGCGGTAAGGTGGCGATTGGAATAAAATGAAAGATGCTTGACATATATATACAATTTTAGAAGCAACGACTCGAACTCGCGACAGACCGCACCAGTTGCTATGCCTCTACTCAACAGCCTCGCCAATAATTAAGTATTATTGATGTTTTCTCAATTAAATATTAATTGATAATATATATTTCTTTATATATTTTGCAGTTAATTGTAATTGGGATATAGCTATACGAAAGTTCAGAAAACCTCGACCGAAAGATATACATTCCTAAAATAGGTCTCTTTCTAATATATGTTTAGAATATATATTTAGCTATATTTTTTGTATGCCGATCTAAAATCGGCACAATTAATTGCAATTGGTTTATAGCTATACAAAAGTTTGAAAAACATTTGCAATATAATTTTAGGGAGCATGCATCAGTTAACCACATGATGAAACATTCTATTGAATTTATGGTAGTAAAATGGTTGGACTCTGTGGAAAATCTTGTAGGTGTCAAGCCAACAGACAAGCTGTTTTCGACGGAAAGATATCCACTTCCAGAAGCGATATTTGCATACTGGGAATCTCGGCAAGAAAACCTTGAGAATCTTGCGCATCAATTGGGTGATATTCGAATCAAGACTATAGGATTTGTATTGGAAAAAATACAATCGGTTTTTGAGCATTCCTATCGACGAATTGTTGAGCTAGTTTTGGAGTCTTTAGCCGAGGCGCGGGACATAACAAAATGCTTAGCAGCTCTGGTAAGAAACTAAATCTTGCTAGATTTCTTTGATGAATTATATTGGCAATCTTATAGAAAAAGAAAATTGATAAGTTTGAAATGAACACTATGGATGATAATAGACCGGATATAAGACCCTTAATGCTAACAGTTGGACTTGTATGGGGACATTCTCGTTATTTTCACACCCTTGATAATATGACCCTCTTCTTTAATCTTTTTCATAATTCACTTATTGAATGCGTTATTCGTACAATTGAACCTGATTCCATGTTTCAGGGTGACGTTGAGGAAGCTTACAAGAAAATTATAATGAACATACAGCACCTCGAATATTATAAGTAAGTTGTACCATTATACTGATCGTGTGAATTTTGTAACCTAGCCTCGTTTTATTTACAGAACTATATACAGAGAATGCCGCAACTCATTAAAAAAATTTAAAATCGGTACTACATTCAATTCACAGGACTGGACATGGCAGGCAGCAAAAATTTTTCAACGCTTGGACGGCTTTATGGACCGACTTCATGAACTTAAAGAGATGTTCAATACAGGGCGTGATTTCATGAAGTTAGACAAAATAGTGATAGGTGGCCTAAAGGGACGTCAAATTTCTGCTGCTCTTGAAAAAATTGTCGAAGACTATAAAAACTGTTATCGTGAATGGACCAACATACAGTACAATCCCCTAGATCCGGAAGCTGAAAATTCACTTTTTGAAATAGATCGTCTGCACTTTAAGCAAAAAACAGATATGTTAGAGAGAATGATAGCGACTCAATTCGAAAAAGCTCTTGAGGACTCGCATGATTTGTTACTTGGTGGGCAAATACTACTTCGGCCTATAATTAGGGCTCATATTGATTCATTTATGCATATAATTGTTGACGATTTCGAGAAAGAAATTTTATATGTTAAAGAGGATTTTAATATTCTTAAGCAGATGTATACTGAGAAAGGTGTATTGGTCAGTAATTTTTATATAAATCATTAAACTAAATCTTACTAATAATGCAATACTAATAGGATATACCAACTGACGACTGTTTTCCAAAAACTTCAGGAACCATCGCATTGCTAAATAAACTTCGTCATCGTATTACTGCCATTTATAAAGACGCAGACATGTATGATTACCCGTAAGTATTTAAAGCAAGTAATAAGGTCTAAGGCAAATGTAATATTCTTATTTTTAGACTTTTTGAAAACGAAAGGGGAAAGAATATCTTAGATCTGTATAATCTTATGCTACAGGAAGTAAATAGTTTTATTAAAAATATACTAGCTAAGTGGGTTGTTGAATGTTGGGCCAGTATTCAAGAAAGCATGGCAATTTCTCTGCTAAAAAGTGATGAAAATGACAACATTTCTGTAAATTTTAACGAAAATCTTAAAACCGCTCTTAAGGATATAAAAGTCTTGCGTCTGCTGGAATGTGAGCTTACTCCAAACCTTATTAAATTTTTCAGTTTGGAAGAAGATCTTTGGGTGCGTAAAATACATTTGCCTGTTTTGACAATAAGTGGTCATACTCATATTACAGCAAGCTCGTATAAAATTAGAGAGAATCGCAGAATGGTGCAATGACATTAACGAGAGAGCGCACGAAACAGAGAGGGCGCTTATTGCGGTCGAGATGGCGATGATAAATGAACAAATAAAACCACTAATTGAAAAAATAACATGGGACGCATATAGTAAGTTTTTTATTTTAAGTGAAATATTAGAGTATTTTTAAGCAGAGGTATGAATATTAAGTTGCAAGAGGCATGTCATATTTCGAAGCATTTCGAGACCACTACAATACCTTGATATTATTAGGTCCGCAATGGATAAGAATCAGAAATTATAAAATTCCACATACATGTAAAGAAGATATTTAATCTTAGGAAAGTACAAAAAATCGTGTAACCGTCTGTCTGAACGAAGAATCTAGCATTTTAGGTCTATCAACATGATTTTAAATCTAATAAATGTTATATTACTTATGCACGCATTTACTTTTGTAGGTCATAAATATACTAACAAAGGTATTTTTCCGGGTGACGCAGCTAGGATATTTGCTGCATTTTGCAATTATTACAGACATTTATTACAAAATTATCGAATTATAGATTTTGGCTAAGATAATGTAAAATTCGAGTTGACAGCAGAGTCAGCTTTTGAATATCTACAAAAAATAAATGAATTATTTCATCACTATCCAGCTTTTAGCAAAGAATTTTACATTACAACCGACGAAAGTAAGCAAGCTCGCGTAGTATTTCTTACACAAGATGAAAACACATCTACTGTTAGCACATTCTGTAACTTACAACCTTAGATTATATTAGAGAATTTTTGGAAGCCGAATTACCAACCACGAGTCGTGGCAGGGGAAGGGGACGAGAGAAAAAGAAATATATTTAGAAAGATAGATTTCCTCAAGCGCCCGTATTGGTGTTATGACCACCCCATGGTGGTCAGCCACCTGGCTGCTAGCCTATCTTACGATTAATGGTGTTTTTCTTTAAGCGACGACGTACTTTGGTGCGATATGATTTTCGGATTAAAACGACAGCTTATTCAAGATTCATTATAAACATTTTATTTCTGAACATTATTATTCATACCCAGGCAAATAATAAAAATGTTTGAACGTGTACTTCATATCGGCCATAACGTTAATTTGTATATTCATATTTTTATACCCTTGCAGAAGGTATTATAATTTTGTCGTGAAATGTGTTTCGCATAGAAAAAAGACATCTCCGACGCCATAAAGTATATATATTCTTGATTAGTATCAACAGCCGAGTCGATATAGCCGTGTCCGTCTGTTCTATGTTTCTATGCGAACCAGTCTCTCAGTATCAAGCTATCCTTACGAAACTTTAAAGGAGTCTTTCTTTCTCTTGCACGCAGTACATATGTCAAAACCAGCTGGATCTGACCACTATAATATCATATAGCTGCCATAGAAACATATTTTTGTTCATCAAGATATCTTGACCAAACTCGAAAATTAAGTTGTATGAAGAACATTTTTGTTCATCAAGATATCTTGACCAAAGCTGCATTTATTAGTTTTACTATTCTCGTCATATATTTTGTTTATCAAAATTAAGTTGTTGTATGGACAACTTTTTTGTCATACAAGATATTTTGATGATACCGGACTACTACTACTACTATCTGCCATAGGAACGATCGGTCGAAAGCTAAGTTTTTGATTAAAAACATTTTTGTTTATCAAGATCAAACGCAGCTTTAAGTATTTTCACTGTGCTTTTTAGATACAGGCAAAGCAATGAGCATTATGAAAAGGTTGGGTCTGCAAGGATATTAGATCTTCGGCGAGCCGAAGATATCGTTTCCTTCCGTTTTATCTAATATAATGGAAATAATTAGTGTTTTCTTTTCTGAAGCCACATATGGGTAAGCTAAGGCTAATTGACCCGCCCCTCCAAGATGCAGAAAATAAAATTTTCGGTAAGTTTAAATTTTACACACTTATTATCGAAGAGGAGGGAAACCATGATTTATCACTTTCTCCGAAATTTCTGCGGCTAAATAAAGATTCCATATTAATGTTAGGATTGAATTATTGATAATGCACATTCTTATTTCGTTTGCTTTGTTTTGGGTTTTTTGTACATGCATTTACTCTTGTTTACTTTTCACTGGGTTGGTTATTCAACGACAAAATTAAAGCTTAACATATGTATATACATATATACATAAATACATACATACATATATGTATACATGTATACATGTATACATGTATACATATATACATATATACATATATACATATATACATATATACATATATACATATATACATATATACATATATACATATATACATATATACATATATACATATATACATATATACATATATACATATATACATATATACATATATACATATATACATATATACATATATACATATATACATATATACATTTATACATTTATACATTTATACATTTATACATTTATACATTTATACATTTATACATTAATACATTTATACATATATACATATATACATTTATACATATATACATTTATACATTTATACATATATACATATATACATTTATACATATATACATATATACATACATATACATATATACATACATATACATATATACATATATACATATATACATATATACATATATACATATATACATATATACATATATACATATATACATATTGTAAGCGTCTGGCAATCTCAACCCATTGCCATTCACAGCGAATCTATAATTAGGCGAAGAAGTATCGAGCTAAGCATCACTAGAAAAAAGCATCAAGCCAATAGAGAAAGAGGACGGACGCTTCTTTAGAATCTATGATATAAGCTAATCTTTGTAAAGTTAACGCAGTATACTATTCTATCTTTTACTTATGTTTGCATAAGAGTATTTCACTCAGTCGACCTGACCAATTCTTACAGTAGGCTCTAATATCGTCACTGACAAAATTAGCTATGAAAAGGGGAACAGCTGGCCGGACTGGCAAATAAAACAATTCCATCGGTCGGTGATGCTATTTAGAAAATTGTATTCTTTAACTAGGCTTTAAGCATATAATTCTATTATCTATTGTATAACCTATTGAAAAATAAGGAAGACACTCGGTTTGTCGACCATTAATAAATAAATAAATAATAATAAAAAAAAATGAAAATTATTTATTAACAAATATGTAAGAGTCGGCAATCTCAACCCATTGCCATTCACAGCGAATCGATAATTAGGCGAAAAAGTAGCGAGTTAAGCATCACTAGAGAAAAAGCAGCAAGCCAATAAAGAAGGAGGACGGACGCTTCTTAAGAATCTAAGATATAAGCTAATCTTTGTGAAGTTAACGCATTAAACTATTCTATCATTTACTTATGTTTGTATAAGCGTATCTCACTCAGTTGACCTGACCAATTCTTACAGTTCAGAAATGGGATAGATCTATGTATGGACACAGATATGCCGTGTTCGCCTACACGCAGAGAAGAAACGCATAGAAGTCTGGATGAGAAGTTTGCAGTGGGATATGCTCCCAAAGGTCTAAGTGACAAAGATTACTGCAAGCTGGGATAAGTTCCCACGATCTTAACATCAGACTGTTTCATAAGTTGGAATACATTTCCTGCAGCGTCGGGGTGTATAATTCTCTTGGGAATTCTCTTCGAATTTCACAGATTGAGCTAACATTGCGATTGCCGTTGCGGAGAAGCAATCCACAGAAGAGTACAAGCAAAGCCATGAAGAGGGAGGATCACTTTATCAGCTACAAAATGAAATAATAAGGTTAAATGAAATTATGAGTCAGTTTATAAACATGCAATGCGCTAGTGCTAGTGGACAAGTGTCGAGCAAGCCACCGGCTATAAACAACTTAGTGCAAGATACAGAAAGCGAGGTGGATGATGAGTATCAACAAAGCACAGCCACACGTCAAGCTTCGGTCAAGGATATTGCTAACACGTTGCCTGAGTTTGACCCGACAGATGCCATTTCAGTCATCAGTTCATTGATCGTGTCAACAAAGTGGTTGAGGCATATCAGTGGGACGAAAAGTTTTTAATGCTCGCAATCTACACTCGACTCAAATGTACAGCCAGAATGTGGTTTAACTCTTCGCCAAGACTTCATGCGACATGGCACCACTTTGCAAACGCACTTCGCGACGAATTAGCTTCACATGAAGCAGAAATCCACTACGCCATGGCAAAATCGATTAGACGTCCAAAAGAGACAATAAAGGAATATTGTTTTCGTATGTCCCAGAATCGATAGGATCTATCGCCGTATCGCCAACAGAGTCAGAAAGGAGTTGACCTTACTGAGAAGAAAAGCCACAGACACCATGCTGGAGGAAGCAACGGCAGACGAGAGCTCCAAATTCGCACTGTGGAAACTTACCAGTCGATACAAGCGGCAACCTGCACCAAAGTTTCCCGTTCGACATCCCGATGGCACCTGGGCCAGGTCGCCAATGGAAAGAGCCGAAGCCTTCGCCTGTAACCTGGAGGAGCGTTTCAACCCGTTTGAGACCGCATCGCATAGAAGGATACAGCGAGTCGCGCAAATCCTGGAGGCGCCGCTACAAACGGCACTCCCTTTATCACCAATCACCTTCCAAGAAGTAAAGCAGGAGATAAAGACCCTAAAAAACAACAAAGCCCCTGGGGAAGATCGGTTGGACAACCAGACAATTAAGCTATTGCCATACAAGGCGGTGCTTTTTCTCGTAGCCATTTTTAATGCAACTCTTCGGCTAGGTCATTTTCCAGTAGCCTGGAAGAAGGCGCATATCATTATGTTGCACAAGAGCGGAAAATCCCCTAATCAACTGGACTCTTATCGCCCCATCAGCCTCCTGCCTACCTTTGGCAAGATACTGGAAAGGTGCATCCTTAGAAGGATCCTGGATACTCCGGAAATAAAACGCTTAATCCCGAAGTTCCAGTTTGGGTTTAGACTGAAACACGGTACCCCTGAGCAACTCCATCGGGTCACAAATTTTATTTTGGACGGCTTTAACAGGAAGGAGTATGTGGTGGCAGCATACCTCGACATCCAACAAGCTTTTGACCGGGTGTGGCACGCAGGACTCCTCTCCAAGATTAAGGGCAAATTGAATCCGCAGCTTGAACGAGAGGACATTTAGAGTGGTACAGGATGGCATAGCCTCT